TCTTTCTACAATTAGTTAGTGACCCTAAACATATAATATTTACATTTTTATATGATTAGATTTCATTAGGTATATTTTAGATTACATTTTAGGACATTATATTATAAATACATATCATCCAATATGTCACTCCGATGTTTATTGTATATCCCCAAGATTTTTCAGACATTTACAATCCGATATGGATTTTGGCCATCCGATATTTCTTAGATATCTGATATTTAAACCTTGAGTGCAAGTGATGCATGAATGACAAAGAACTTTAGGGAGTGATGTAGTCGAATAGTAAAGGGAATGGATAGTTTCTTGGTTATTTCCCCCTAAGTGTGAGGGCATACCTGTTGATCTACCAAGAGTGAGGACATTTACGTTGATCTATCCAAGCGTGAGGGCACTTCTCCTAGGCCCTTTTTTTCCCCCGAGGGTGAGGTCATTTATGTAGATTTTTGCAAGTCTGAGGGCGTCTCCATTGATTTTTCAAAATGTGAGGGGGGTAATTCTGAAAATGTGACGCGCATAGGGAAAAACAACAAAAAGGCACTAGGGCAAATTTGCTGTTTGTAACGCAAAAAATATTAAATACTATTTAAAACACTGATGGCCGAAGCATTGCAATTATTCGTGAATTTCCTCTAAAAATGTATGAATGAAGTTCATCTTGCTCAAATTAACGACTGTACGTCTACTGGAGAAGGTAAAGGTACGCATCGAAATTAGGGTTTCAAGTTTAGAAAAGTTCGGCGATTCCTCTGAAAAAAAAAAAAATACGTACCTGGAGCAGAGGCGAGGTCGGCGAGATTCATCGCAGGCGGGAAAAGATCGGAGGTGACGCAGCGCGCTAGTTTCGAGGGGAAAGAAGAGGATCAGTGGGGTTCCAAACAACGGTGGAATATTCAAACTAAGCCCCTACGTCATAAATCTTTTCGGGCAAAGCTCCCAATCGCCGAAAATAGCGGGGTGGAACCGTGGAAGTTCACGGCGGAGGTTTGTTGAATAACTGATTCAAATTTGTTATTAGGTTGTTATTTTGTTAGTGGAGTTGTTGCTAATTAGTTTAGATTTTTATGGGATTAAGTTGTTTTGTAAGCCTATATAAAGGCACTTTTAGTTGATGAAATTTTTATGGGATTAAGTTGTTTTGTAAGCCTATATAAAGGCACTTTTAGTTGATGAATATGATAGAAAAAATATTATCTCCTCATCTCCTCTCTAATTCCAACATGGTATCAGAGCTCCAAGTTTCTTGGGTTTGTGAGGATTTTAAAAAAAATATATAGAGTAATGTCCTCTTCAAAAACGAGGAGAGGAGGGATAAAAACCCTAGCCCTAAAATCAATGGCGGAGGCGATGATGAAGAGCAAGGCAGCGGCTTTAACCGTCGCCGAGAGATGCAGAAGCATTTTGGGTGCAAATTCCCAAGCTCACCTCAACACCATCAAAGTCGACTCCAAAGGCAGCAAGAGTGAGATTCACACTTCGAAGGTGCACTATATTTTCAAGAGGGGAAAGCCTTACCTCTGGGTTCATGAAGGAGACTTGCATAATACCAACATAATCATTGATGAGCGAGGTTCTCTTTCTGTCAGCAATGTCGTTCCAGGTCCACTTACGGGTTTGCTCAAATCTATAAGAAAAGCTACCAGCTTGTGCTGCTTTAGCGGGTGACGTTATACCTCTTAAAAAATAAATTTTACTCTAGGAATCATGGTGAGATGTGCACCATGGAGAGATTGAGAGAAGTGCTCCTTTAAGAAATGTTGGTGATTATGTGCGTCAACAAGATTGAGATGAGAAGTGCATCACAAAGTGAAGAGAAGTGCTCTACAAGATTATGGAGAGAAGTGCTCTATGAAGATTCAAGAGGAATGATAAGAAATTTTGAATCAAGGGGGAATGTTGAATAACTGATTCAAATTTGTTATTAGGTTGTTATTTTGTTAGTGGAGTTGTTGCTAATTAGTTTAGATTTTTATGGGATTAAGTTGTTTTGTAAGCCTATATAAAGTTTTTATGGGATTAAGTTGTTTTGTAAGCCTATATAAAGGCACTTTTAGTTGATGAATATGATAGAAAAATATTATCTCCTCATCTCCTCTCTAATTCCCAACAGTTTGTCCTTAGCCCCTCAGGTTGTTAGTATTTCGTATTAGTCCCTCAAACTACTGCAACTGGTATTAGATCCCCCAAATCATTTGTAATTGCTAGTAGGTACCCAACATTATCTATAAATGTTTTAAAAAAAAGTGCCTTGTCACCATAGGGGTTCAAATCCCTTGTTCATGGTTTGATTTGCCTGACACTTTGATAGATATAGTTACCAAAATACCGCCCAATTATAGGCTAGTTTGATACTACCTACCTTTTATCTTTTAACAATCATTATTAAGCACGGTTCTAACAAATATCTTAACTGTTTTTTAAGTATTTTATGATATTTAATTACCAAATAGCTATTTTCAATTGTTTATATAAGTTACTCTTATAAGCTATTTTTATATGTAACTTATCATAGACTCCAGCAATACCAAACTAGCCCTAAATGTTACAAGAACAGTCTTTTTCCCCTTTCTCTTCTCCTTGCTCAAGTCTTTGGTAGCATTGAATGTTGAAGGGATACGATT